AGGACCCATCTTGGCCGCAGTTTTACTCTTCGAAGCCAATCGAGAGCATAAGATTCACGTTGAGCGCCGGGGACTCTTTCGTTTCCCAGTGGCTCTTCTGCTCTCCACTTTCGCTTGTTTGGGTGCATCTCTTTTATATGCTAAAGTTAATCCATATGTAGGTTCATTCTTGACCGCGGTAATAGGCCATGCACTAACGGTATGATGTGTTCCAGGTCATCTATTCATACCCAGACGCCGTCTTCTTTTCACTATTTGCACTTGGATTCGTAGTTCTGTATATTGTTCTGGCCGGATCAGCTCGTTTTCGACCAACCCCACATCAAACCACCGCCGTCCTTGGCGAAATGTTCCTATTATGGTGGATCATATTAGCGATTGACGTGAAGGGCTTGCTCGTCACTCGAGCTTTCTTCTTTGCGCCATTTCTTTACATATCAGCCTTGATAGGGCTAGCAGCAATGCTAATCCAGGCAATTCGCCCTCCAGCAACGTCATTGCCCGGTGCGATTCGATTACCAGAAGATAACAACCATTCGTCAGATGAAGCTACAGTAGTAGCTAAAGGTCGTCAAAAAATAGCAAAAGCAGTCCAAGCGTGGAATCCTAATTTACGCCGCGTTACGATCCTGGGCATCACACTGGTAACTCAGTTGGGATTCTTCATTGTATTAATGGTAATGAAGAATAGATGGATCGAGTATCAGCAACCAAGAGATAGTAAGTAGCTCTTTTAGGAATTTGAAGCCCTCTGATGATTTTGCAGTCATGCTGGTGGATGCTACGTCTGCACTTTTCCTGGTCATCCCTTTCGCCACATTCATGCACAAGCTTCACTGGTCTATTCCTTCGACATTTACACTGGTATTCATTGGAACCTTTTTCTTCAGCCTCTTCACCTTTCCATTCACATACCGTGCTCCTGCCTACCTGGAATTTGAGCAAGTTGTGTCGCTTGACAATGGTACCAATATTGTTCTACTTGCTGGCCCTCGAGGTTATACCGAGAACGATATTGTTCCCCATTTGCCATCTTTTAAGGCTAGTACAGACTTGCACCGATGCAAGGAATTGCCTATGGGATTGGCAGGGCAGCCCGAATCTACAGTCTGCTTGTGGCATGGTCTCGCTCCACCTGAACCACCCATCGACTTATTAACGGTAGAACAATCCCATCTGATTGGCGATGTTGCAAGAGTTTGGGTGAATTATGCACCTGGCTGCACTGGCTATGGACTAGAATTCCAAGGACCTGCGCAACCACAATGGGAAGGAGTTTCGCGTTCTGAAGAAAAGAGCGGACGTGTAACAGAGACATTCAAGGTATGGGTCCC